GTTATAAACATTTGTGTACAAGTTTTTGTATGGTCATATATTTTCATTTATCTTGGATATATAAATAGGAGCAGAAATGGTGGCTCATATAACTCTAAGTTTGGGTCGGTGAGAAAGTACCAGACTCTCTTCCAAGGTTAGTGGTGCCGTTCATATTTCTACTAACAATGTGTTTGTTTGAACTTGGGTTTTTTCTTATAGCAAGACCAGTGGATCTTCTCATAGTGGTGTCTTCTGATAGTTTGGGTTTGCAGTGGCTTAATGAGTAGTGATGTATATTGTCTTATTTACTTGTCTTGTTGCGGAGACAAAGTACCCAACACCCAAAATTAAGAAGGAACTTTGGCTTATAGTTACTGAAGTTTCAGTCCATAATTATCTGGCTCCAAGGCAGGGTGGCATGGCAGAGGGGTAACAGTACATAGTGGACAGAAAGCAATAAAAGCAACAAGAGACTTTAGTAGCATCTTTTTGTCCCTTATATCTTATGCAGACTACCAGGATTAGGGCTGTGCCAAACCAAGCAGTAGACTGATTTAGTAATCACACACCTATAATCCCAGCGACACACATTTTAAATTTAGCCACCTCCAAAAAACCCCCTCGGATTATATGAGACTTTGGGAGGCATCTACCCACAAACCGTAACACATATTGGCCATTTATATGTCTTCTTTGGAAAAATATCTATGCAAATATTTTGCTCATTTTTAATTTGGTTGTTTTTGTGTTTTGATTTTTATTTTTTAGCATAGTAGGAATTAAACCTAAGGCCTCATGCACACTTGGCAAGTGCTCTACCCTGAGCCACATCCCCAGCCCTGTAAGAGTTCCTCATATATGCTGAATACAAGTCTCTTACATGTAATTTGAATATATACTATTCCGTTATATGGACTGTATTTTTACTTTCGTGATGGTCTCCTTTGAAATATATAGGTTTTTGTTGTTATTATTTATTGTCACCACATCTCTTCATTTTTGTTGTTGTTTATACTTTAGGTATTATATCAAGAATCTGTTGCCTAACTCAAGGTCACAAGAATTTACTTCCATTTTTTATCTAGAAGTTTCACTGGACTGGGAATATAGCTCAGTGATATACTAATAGGCAGCCTTACATGCATGATGCCTTGAGTTCACTTCCCAGAACTGGGAAAAAAGTAATAAAAAATTTCATAGTTTTAATTCTTACATTTAGATCTCTGATAATATTTGATTTGATTTTTGTATGTGGTGAGACAGCTCCGACTTCATTCCTTTGTATGTGGATATCCCACTGTCCTAGGACCATTTGTTGAAAAACTATTCTTTCCCCCATTGTATCATTTGGCAACCCTGTCAAAAATTAATTGACTGTTAATACAAGAGTTTGTTTCTGTCCTCTTAAACCTAGTCCATTCATCTATATTTCTGTTCTTATGCTACTAGCACAATGTTTCAATTCTTAGAGTTTTATAGTAAGTTTTGAAATCAGAAATCAGTCTTTTTCAAGACTGTTTCTGCTAACCTAGTATGTCCACATGAATCTTAGGATCAACCTGTCTATTGCTGCAAGGAATGCAGCTGGGATTCTGATGGGGACTGCACTAAACCTGTAGATCATTTAGGGAGTATTTCCATTTTAACAGAACTAAGTCTGATCCATGAGCATAAACTGCATACAATTAGTTGTTTGCATAACGTAACTAATTTCCATACATTTAGGTCTTTACATTTATTTGGTCAGTATTTTATCTTTCTGTGTATAAGTCTTATTTTGCTAAATATTTTCTTTTTGACAGTAATGCAATTAGAATTGTTTTCTTCATTTTGAGATTATTCATTGATAGTATATAGAAATACAATTTATTTTTACATATTGATCTTGTATCCTGCAGTCTTGCTAAACTATTTTCTGTGGATTTCTTAGGCTTCTCACAGATTATGTGAGTAGAGATAGTTTAGTTCCTTCTTTCCTGTCTGGATGTTTTTCTTTCTCTTTCTTAATTTCTCTGGCCAGCAGCTCACATGCATTCTATACTAAAGATGGTAAGAGCAGAAATCCTTATTTTGTTCCTGATCTTAGGGGAGAAATATTCAGACTTCCACCATTTTCTGTGATATTAGCTCTGGGCTTTACAAAGATGTCCTTTATCTGATTTAGGATGTTCCCTTCCTTTCCTACTATTTAAGTGTTATCATGAAAAGCTGTTAGATTTGTCAAGTGCTTTTTCTGCATCTTTTCAGATGACTATGCAAGGGATTTTTTTCCTTTTATTAGCATAGTATTTTACATGGGTTAATTTTCAGGTGTTAAATTAACCTCATGCTCCTGGAAAAGTCTCACCTTGTTGTGGTATACTATCCTTTTGAAATGTTGTTGGACTTGGTTTACTAGTATATTGTAAAGGACTTTTGAATCTGTATCCCTCAAAAGTATCCATCTTCTGTTTTCTGGTAATGTTTTTGTCTGATTTGGTTATCTAGGTAATGCTAGCCCCTTAAAATTAGCATAGAAAAAACTCCTTCCTCCTCTGGGTTTTTGGTGGTGGTGGTTGGTTGGTTTTGTTTTCTTTTGTTTGTTTGTTTTGTCTTTTTAAGTTGGAGTCTTGCTGTGCAGTTCAGGCTGGCCTTGAGCTCAGTTTGTAGCCCAGGCTGGCCTCAAATTCACAACAATCCTCCTGCCTAAGCCTCCCTAGTGCTGGGATTGCAGGCATGCATCACCAGACCCAAAGTTGCTCCTTTGTATTTTGAAAGAGTTTGTAAAGGATTAGTATTAGCACCTTTTTTGAATATTCTGTAAAATTCATCAGCAAAGTCATTTAATCCTAATTTTTTCTTTGTGAAAATTATTTTTTTTTTGAGAATTTATTTACTCATTTATTTTTGTGGTCAAGGGCCTGGGGAAATAGCTCAGTAGAATAAGCACTTGCCTGGCAAATGCAAGGGCCTAAGTTCAATCCCCGTTTCCGCAAAAAAATAAATAAATAAAAATAATTTTTTTTAATTACACTAGTTTTGTGGTCAAGGAGGTTAAACCCAGAGACTCATGCATCCTCAACAACCACTATCACTCAGCCATAACCCCATCCTGAATTTTTTAAATGACTAACTAAATGTTTTCTTTATTATAGGTACCCATATAATTTTACTACTTTTTCTTTTAGCTTTATGTATTCAGTCATTCAGGAAATATTTATTGCATATCTATTTTATCTAGAACTTGATCTGAAGTCAGAAGTTACAAAAATATATAAAAGAATCCCTTACCCTCTTGGAGCTTTACTTTCTCTTTTTCTTCCTCTCTCATGCCCTCTCTCTCACTGTGCACATATTTTTATTTATATTTAATGTAGCTCTAGTGCTTGGAAAGATATTATTACATGCCATTAGTGGAGAATAGAAATCTCTAAGCATGTTATATATAGTTGTTTAAACTCTTGAAATTTTTGCATTAATGAGAAATGGAATATATCATTATTATTTTAGTAGTAGTAGCAGTAATAGTATAATCATAGCTTATGTCAGCACGTATCCTTGGCATCCTTCAGGGAAATCACCACCCCTACTTGTTCATGTCACCCATTGCCTTCCACTCTGTGATCATCAGTGGGAACATGTGTGAGTTTCCTTAAACACTGTAATGAAGATTGAAATGGGTTGTATAAAACGACAGAAATGCATTCTCAGGCAGTTAGGAAGGATAAAGTCCTGAAATCACAGTGCTGTCAGCAAGCCATGCTCCCTGTGAGGCACAGGGTAGAATCCTTTTTACCTCTGCCTGGCACCTGATAGTGGCCATCAGTCCTTGGCTTTCTCTCGCTGTAGTTGTCTCACTCTAGCCCATGGAATCATCATCTGCTGCTCTCCCTGTTTGCTGCTGTCTTCGTGTGGTGTTTATTGCAGGGAGGACACTCATCATGGTAGGTTAGGGCCCATTCTACTTGATCACATGACTATTGCCAAATAAGGTCATGTTCACGGAGCGCCAGACGTTAGGCTTTCATGGGGGAGAGGAGTCATGATTCAGTCCATAATGAGATTATGCTTTGACTCTGAGATCTTGTCCAAAGACGTCATTTTAATAACATGACTGATTGTAATAGATTTTATGGAAGTTTCATTTTATTTTCTCTGACTTGAACAGAAGATCACCTCTTCATTATATAAGTTCTGAAGATACCAATCAGCCCACACATTTTATCTTCTAAGCATAAGTGTCAGATACCAAGCAGAAATAGGGGTTCAGTGTAAAAGTTCCAAAAGTAGCGCCTCTTAAATAACAATGTGTACATGTAATCCAAATAAAAAGTAACATGAGTTTGTGAATGACTGTCTGGAACAGCAGTTGTCTGCTATGTACATTAACCAAAATCACAGACAATGTTAGAGTCCATCGTTAGTGAAATAAAATGATAGAGCTTGTGAAAATTGCATTTGTTTGTTACAAGATGCTGTATACATGACAAGTATTATACACATGACTATAAAATAACCAATACTGTATACAGCATAGTAGTGTCTCTTTGGAACAAGGTAAAAAAAAAAAAAAACAGTATCTTCTGAGCCTCTGCCCTGTTGCTAGTTTCAGCTGTTTTCAATAATGCTTCCAAGCATTTTCTTGATCCACAAATGCTATTATGTCTACTCTGTCACAGTGCATGTGTCTGTGAGTAGCTGTCATTCCTTAGTATCCTGGTGTGGTGAATTATAGTGCTCTTGGAATAGGACTAAAAAGTCTGAATCCTTAAAAAAAAAAAAGCTCATCACCCAAACTAGTTCCCTGTTTCTCTGGTAGAGAAATCTTGAAACATTTATATTTGTTGTTCCCTTCAAGTCTTGGACTCATAGCTTAAATGTTCAGGTATTTGTTCTGTGGTTGTTTTCCCACTTTGAATGAAAGCACGAAGTCTTACATTTCACATGACTACCCCACTCATTTCTACTCAAGTTTCCATTATGAAATAGAAATTTTCATTTAATTATTCTCTTCTCTTCTTTCTGTTAAAATAATACAGGGCAGTCCAGAGCAGCAATGATCCCCCCCAAGCATCCACGGCAGCCCAAAGGAGCTCTGGATGATGCCATTGCCTTTGGAGGGAAAACAGACCAAGAAGTTCCAAGTGCTTCCCAACCCACACCACCCCCACTGCCAAAGAAAATGATCATAAGAGCCAATACAGAGCCAATCCCCAAAGACCTCCAGAAATCCATGGAAAGTAGCCTTTGTGTCATGGCTAATCCTACCTATGATATTGATCCTAACTGGGATGCCAGCAGTGCTGGCTCATCCATTAGCTGTGAGCTCAAAGGACTGGACGTTGAATCTTATGATTCCTTGGAGAGACCTCTGCACAAGGAGAGACCCATCCCTTCTGCTGCAAACAGCATCTCCAGTTTAACCACTCTCAGTATTAAGGACAGGTTTTCTAATAGCATGGAATCTCTAACAAGCCGACGTGGTCCCTCTTGCAGACAGGGCCGAAGCATTCAGAAGCCACAGAGACAAGCACTTTATCGAGGACTTGAAAATCGGGAGGAAGTGGTGGGTAAAATCCGAAGCCTTCACACAGATGCCTTGAAGAAACTGGCTGTGAAATGTGAAGACCTCTTCATGGCTGGACAGAAAGACCAGCTCCGCTTTGGGGTCGACAGCTGGTCAGACTTTAGGCTAACCAGTGACAAACCATGTTGTGAAGCAGGTGATGCAGTTTACTATACTGCTTCTTATGCAAAAGATCCACTTAATAACTATGCAGTCAAGGTAAGAAAATATTACAATGTCATTTTAATCTTTGTAAACATGCTGTTCCTAAAGACTGTTCTTCTTTCCCCTTTTCTTTTCTCAAATTCCTCCATTCTTCGAAAGCTAAGAGTACCTGCTGATAGGGTGGGCCAAATAGCTCAGCAGATTAAAGCACCTTCTTGGGCAGACACAGGGGCTGGGAGTTGGATCCCCTGGCCTGCCGTGCTGGCCACTCCCCCAGGGCACGCTGAGAAGGCAATCGAGACTGGGCGTGGTTGTGCACGCCGTAATGCCAGCACTTGGGAGGCTGTAAACAGGAGGATTACTATGAGTCCGATCTACACAGTGAGACCCTATATACCCTGTCATAAATACAAAAAAAAAAAAAAGTAACTGCTGGAAAGTAGATGCTAATAACTAGAAGCCTTGTTTATGTTTAGAGAAGAAAAGAGATAATGTAAAGAAACAGTTTCAACAGCATACATATTGCATGCTAAGGTAGAGATAAACAGGAATTCTGTGAGGTGCTTGGAAGAACCCAACTTGGACCCCAGAAATCACAATAGTCTTCTTAAAGGAAGTAGACCTGGAGCTATGCTTATTTGCATAGGCTACCTATAAAAAATAAGGTCTACTATGTATCTTATACTCCATGTTTCTGCATTTATTCCTTCCCGAAAAAGAGAGCCCTGTCTATACCCATTCAGTAACTCCTCTGCTTCCTGCAGAAATATTTTTATAGAGAAGGTAACTAATACTTATTGAACTTTATATTGTATTATTTAATCTTCTCATCAAATCTATGACAGTAAAATCTTTTTCTACATTTGACACATGAGGAAAATGGAGCTCAGAGGTATACAAACTTGCTTAGAGTCACACGGCAAACAATTGGTAGACCTGGACTATAAACACAGGTATCTCTTGAATTCTGGCCTACACTTTGTCTTATATGTCATGTGTACTGCCCTTTCTAGACAACCACTACTGCAAGATGTCTACAGCTCTTAACATGAAGAATTCTCACTGAGTTACACTGGCTATAATAGTGGACCATATATTTTATCACTGTAAAAGCCATAGTATGGACTGTGGTGTCCAAAAGATTTGGGTTTAGACCTTGGCTCTGACACTCAGATTTGTCAGTAATGGTCCCTGCCATATGGAACTGTCCCTGATAAGTGCTTCTTTTTCTACCATTAGCTCTTCTCTACCTGAAAAGAGTAGCAATCTTTGGCCCTCCATTTCCTCTCTTTTAGCTGTTTACAGTGATAATCCATCCACTTTATGGGATTGAGGTGAGGATCAAGTGAGATAATGCAAGTGAAAGGGTTTGAAAAACAAAGCTCTGCGTAAACGTTAAAGTAATGTTCTCCATTCCCATAGTTCCTTTTTATGCTTCTACTCATTGGTTCAAAAACAATTAACATACCTAAATGACTTTTACCTGTTAATTTGGCTTAGAAAGACCAGATGGTATCTTAGTAAATTAATAAATAAGGTAAACAGTTGGCCTTGCCTATCTATCAAGACAGACTATATGCTGGGGCAGACCTTTGGCTGGCTGATCTCCACAGTTGCAGCACCCATGACCGTCTGTGGCACTGGCAGGGTGTCTCTGCTCCAGTCCACGCTGTCAAATTAAATTGAAAGGTAGACTGCAGAGAGGGGATCTAGACTCCAGTTCCTGTATTACCTGCTGGTCTAAAAAGGCATGTTGAGATTCTGAACAGCTCCCAAGAGCTGTTACATCAGTTGGGGTTCTGGTGCCTTATCTTTCTTGGGTCCTTACTGCTGCAAGATCACAAATGCAGAATGAGTACCTATTTCAGAAAGGGGCATTGAACTAGCTCTTCTTTCAAAACAATTGAGAAGTAGGGCTTGACTAACTTTATGTATTATTGCTGTGCAATCTTGTCTTTTTCCTAAATCAACGGTCTAGTATTGATTTCTTTGTTTGTAATGATGCAAAAGCAATCTCAAAAGAACAGGTGGCAAGTGATTATATACTGGCAGTTGTTGGCAGGTTGGGAAAGGATGTTTTACACTAAATGCTGAATATGAATGTCTGTTTGAAGACCCTCTGGGTATTTTCAGAAGTGCCCAACTAAGACAAAATTCTACCCCAGTTGTGAACCTGTGAAACCAGACAAGATATGTGTATCCAAAATACAACTACAAACAGGCATAAAATAGAAACATTCCCACACTAAAAGGAAGAAGTGAGAAGGAAGGGCTGATGGGTCCAGAAGTCCAAAATCTAGCAAGTTAAATTCCCTTAAATCCTATGACTTGAGAATAATCCTTTTTTATTTGATCCCCTGCCTTCCAGCCCTACTAGGGTGGCAGTGCCACCCTCATGGGCCTCGGTGGTGGCTCACAGGCAGGCTGGCCCTCCAGAGCCAGAGAAAACAAGGAAGGAGCAGCTGTGTGCACTGTACTTTGGTGAAGAGCAAACCTGACATCTCATCATCACCTTGGGGTTACTCTCCCCTTTCTTTGAAGAACACAGCACTTAACAACCAAATAGCTCTGTGGTCCACCCCGATAAAACCCAACAATTCTTCTTTCATTGTAGCCTACTTTCACTGTTCCCTAGTTCAGACTGGCAGTGTTTTTGCTAATACAACCCCATTTCTTGTTATTACTGGCTTCTGCTAAAATGGCTGATTAAATCTGTGAATTCTCCCCATGATCTCTTCATCACATGACTATGTAGCCACACCTTCAGTGTTCTTTCACAGTTTTTGCAATATGACCAGAATTCTCTACATCTTTTAAGTTCTGATTTTTTTTTAATTAAGATCAACTTTACACTTAATGGCCTTCAGTAAAAACATAAGGGAAATCAAAACAATATGAACAAATGTTTTACAAACATTCCCAGGGCAAACCACTTAAATGACTACTTTTTTACATATCATCATAATTGCCGTTACCTCACTTCCTTGCTGTTTGAATTCATTGATCATTTCTAGTTGGAGACACTTTGTAGCAGAATGATGTTATCTCCTTTCAGCATGATCCAACCCAGTTGTTTTCTTGACTTTGTTTTAGAATGAATTTCTTCCACATCATCTAATACAAGGTTCATGTACTCATCGAAATCACTAATACAGCCCTCTATCTCCATATTCACTTGCTCATACGGCCACACCTGGATCCAGGATCTATTCTGCAAATATCTGAAGATGCGGTTGATGGGCTGCACCATCACCTTCTGCACTTTCTGGCCCTGATCCCAGTACACCATGGTGGAACCCGAAAAACACCAGCCACCACCTAGTTCTGATTTATTTTTGCTTAACAATTCATTCTTCAATTCATCTGTCTTCTTTCCCATTGTACTATAAACGCTAATGAGAAACCAAGCTCCTCCTTTATCACTTTGCTTTTAGATTGCCTCAGCTAAAAATCCAATTTTATCATATAATTTCTGTCTTTTACAAAACAACAGAACATACTTCTGCTGGGTTCTTAATCACCTTTCTTCTGGTGTCCAGTGGCCATGGTGCTTGTTCCCATTATAGACCACACCAGAATCACCCTTACTTTCTCACAGTTGGACTCTAGAAAGGCCAAGATCAAGACCCCGATTGACTCTCATTCTAGTGCAGGTCCTCTCACTGTTTCTCATACCCACCCTTTCACTGAGTCCTGACATCACAGCAGCAGAGCATGCCAGCTTTCTGTATTTGTTCCCTAACCTTACCCTTACAGATTCCTCACCACATTGACCCCTTATGGGCTGCCATGTGCTGCCACGTGAAGATTAGAGCTTCAGCATAGGATAGAGCGAGGAGATGAACAGTTCAGGTCATGGTAGGAGTTGCATTTGCTTTTACTCTAAAGTGGGCAGTTTTAACTCAGGACTTCTCCTGGATTTACATGTTTTTTTATTTCATATTCTTATTTTCATTCAACATGAATGACTTTATTAATTGTATTGCTCTTAAACCAAAAGGCACTACACTACAGAATAAAGAGCTTTGGCATCATCTGCCCTGGGCCCAAGCTCTAATTCTGCCTTTCTGTATTCTTAAGCCATATAGTTTCTCTTGGTTTTCACATCAGCGTACAACAGCTGGCCTGCCTACTTCATAAGATGGTTATAATGTTCATATTTATGTAATGAAAGCGCTTTTAAGCTGGAAATAGTGGTACACCCCTGTACTTCCTGCACTGTGGGAGGCTGAGGCAAGAGGATCACAAGCTTGATCCTTATCAAGACCTTGTCTGAAAATAAAAAAGGACTAGACATCTAGCTCAGTGTGAAAACCCTGAGTCCAGTCTCTAAAATGGAAAAAAAAATTATTTTTATAAGCTATAAATTACATATAAGCCTTAATAATATATTGTTATTAATAATGGAACATTACTGCTTCATATTCTATAGGTCACTACTATTTAATATTTAGCAGATTTAGATAGATTGTACACTTAGATATTTTCTTCCTCATTAATTCAAATACATAAATATGTTTTCCATTAAATTTATGAGAGAAGTCTTCAAACTGTTGCAGCCTCAGGAATTTGGTGCTGCCAAAAATCAAATGGAATGGTTGATATTAAAGAAACAATGAAATAAATTGTGGCACATCAGCCCAATGGAATGTTTGTAGCCATTAAAAGTGGTGATTACAAGGACTATATAAAATGACAAACATTTGTTGTAAAATTTCATAGAATACTAAAGAGAATGGTCATAACTTTTTAAAAATTGATCTGCAAAATGGTAATAGGGAAATAATTCTATGTGAGAGTGCTGGTAACTATAGATGATTGTTATTTTATGTAAAAATGCCATTAGTTCTTTTCAATGAAAAGCACTGAAGTGTTAGAGATTTGGGATCATTTCACCCTGTTTCTCGAAGGTATGGGTCTCTTTAGTTATTCATTTCTGTAGTCCTATTCTGTAGCATAAATTATAAATAGCTCCTATTTCATGCTTCCTGGCTTTAGCACACGCTGGCTCCTCTGTCTGGACTGCCCTTCTGGGAGACAGAATGATACAATGA